ATCCCAGTTGACGCTGGCACTGCTGAAGCCGCAGATGCCGTCAGTGGGATTTCAGGGGGTTATGAGCTTGTGTTTATTTCTGGTTTCCTTCATTTTTAATTTATAGTTAATATTAAACTATCTGCCGTCCCGGTTATGATAAACAACCAGTGTGTGGAAGGCAGAAACGTGTGCATTCCTGATCATGTTTTTGGAGCCTTATTAGGAGTTCTGTGGGATAGCTGGAGTGAAGTGGAGTCCCCGCTCTGCCTTGGTGGTTTGGTTTCAGGCGCTGTGTTTACGCTCTCAGTAATAAGCACAGTTAGATGGATGTGTTCCTTAGATAAGTGTTTCCCTTGATGAGGTCCCCAGTCCTTACCTGACCACAAACCATTTATCCACAGAGACAGATGATGACCTTAAATTACCCCCTTCTCTCCCTCCCCTGTGTTTTTGTCTTGCTGCGGCTTTGCTGTTTGTTTGCTGGATACCTCCTGCTCTTTGTGGTGGTGGGGGGGGGTCAAGTGTCCTCCTCTGCTTTTGTTAATGAGAAGCTGTTGTGGGTGGAAGTGGGCTTGAATTCCCTCTGTTACAACTGCAGGGAAGATTTCTCACATATAGAGTAAAAACTTTTAACAAAACTCCAAAGAACAAAGTCTGCAAGTGGCTTCTGTTATTTCTGCTCTTTCTGGAAGAGCTTTTCTTTAGAAGTCAGTCTTGACACTTACATGGTTTTATCCTGGGTGACATGTGGCAGCAGAGTTCGGCGAGGCAAGATGCTGTAAGATAAAGCAACTCAGATATCCTCAGATGGTAAAAGAAAAGGGCAAATGTCCGAAAAAGAAAGACTTGGTACAACAGAAGAAGCAGACTAGACTTTTATGTTAAAATACAGAGTGACAATGTGTTTCTGTAGGAGAGAGAGAGTTAACTGAGACATCTTAAAGCTCCATATTTTCTTTTTCTTCTGTTTTATTTTGAAGTGTTGATCCATAAGAAGATATATTTGTGGTTTTAAGAACCAAAAACCATCTCAGTGTAGTTTCACATCTCCTCTCTCAGGCTTCTCTCTGCAGCTCTAGTAACAACAGGTCGGTGAGCCAATCAGAAGAGAGGAGGCTCTGAGCCTCTCTTCTGATTGGCTGACTGTTTTCTGAGTGATCCAATAAAAATATAGCAGATTTCAGGTAAAAACACTCAGAGAAACCAAATCCTGTAAAGGTTTGGATGCTGGGTCCAGGTGGGCGGGGCTTGGTGACTGCTTTGTTGTGACATCACAAAGTTCCAGAAGTCCTGACGGCTGGTTTTAAGGCTCAGTTTCTGAATACAGGCTGTGTGCATTTCTCTGTGGACTGAGGCTTTGATACTTTCACAGTATTAATATAGAAGCTAGACCTGATCTATAATCACACTACACATGGACACAGACCTTTACACTGGAGGAGCTTTAAAAGTTCCACTTATCCATGTATTTATAATAACAATGGGTGAAATTAGTCTAATGTAAAACGCATTTCCCATAGTGACAAAAACCACACAGAATTATCAGTTATGTGTCCTGTTTTATCGTCTTTGAGCTCACTGTTTTGGTGTGATTTGTTTCCCTTATGTTTTTATTCATTTTCCCTCCAGTTTTTCACAAGCGTAGAAGATGATCAAAGGCGCTTTAAAATGATTTTTTGCAGCCATGCAAACCAAAGCAACAGACTCTCTGCCAGCTGCAGCCTTGTTGGAGACAAACACACGCGAACCATCTTTTTTTTTGTTATCTTTTATTTTTTTATTTACATTTTCCAGCTCTTGCTCCTCCTCTCTCCTCTTCCTCTGAAGCTGTTTGCACACTGATGTGTTGCAGAAAAGTCCTCTGCATGTTTTTTTTTGTTTGTGCACCTGACACACACAGTGAAAAACATTCTCCTCATCTCACCTGAAAGGACGAATAGACCCTAACTTCTCCTCCTACTCTCTTTATTTCCCTTCGCTCCTGTCTGAACCGCTCTCTCCACATCAAAGCAGCAGCATCCCTTTCTTCTGTCCAGATGCTTCTGCTCCTATTAGAAAGGTGCAGAGGGAGCGTAACAACAGTAGTTGGGAGCACTGCTTATGTATCTGATGAGGCTATCAAAACACAGCGTCACGTGGTCCCTTTGCTTTGTTTGTTGTAACCACAGAAAACAATGGAGGGCTTCCACACTGACAACTCCTCAGATTCAATCATTTTTGTTTGCAGCGACGTTGGTTTCTGCAGGAAAGAGCGAACCCTGTAATTTCCCTGTCTCTGCAAGAAAACGCAATTTACTACACATCTGTTTGCATCAGCTCTGAACACACACACACACACACACACACACACACACACACACACACACACACACACACACACACACACACACACACACACACACATACACACACACACATACACACACACAAGTAGAGTCAGCGTGCTGGTAATGTAATTGATTGTGATGTCAGAATCTGAGCCCCCTACTACTTCTGCACAAAGGAGGGAGGAGGGAGGGAGCAGAGAGCAGAGCAGAGAAAAGGTGGCTGACAGTTCTGTAGGTTCAAACTCGGAGAGACGGCGAGCGAGTAGGAGAGCGTGGTGGGCGTGCTATGTGAGGAATGTTGGCTCGTGTTGTAACTAGAACTCCTGAAAGGCCCTGTTCTTTCCATACCACTGGGACAGTTTAGACCCCGTCCTGGCAGGCAGCCCAACCCTTCTATCTGTCTCATTATCAATGTGCCTTTCTGTGCCTCCAGGCTCCGGTTTTTTCTGTGTTTGAGTCTTCAGCAGCAGCAGCTCCACCACCGCCCTGTTAGTAAACTCCACTTGACTGCTGTAAAATGATTACTTCAAATATAAAGCATGACTTTACCCTGGGTTGTGCATATTGATGCTTCCTCCAAAACCCCCCCACAGGGCGTGAATTTCTGCATTTCTGACATGAGAGGCTCCAATGGGAACTGATATCCTAAGCATGGAAGGGAGAATACATTCTTTATCCACAGAGCTCCACGAGAAATCTTCGACATCTCGTATAAAGTTCCTTAAATATTTATAAAATTTCATCTACCTACGTTCTGTTAAAAAAAAACCTGTTTTGTATGTTTTTATGTGCAAAAACAAAATGCACTGGAAACATAAATAAACCACAAAGATGAGAATTGAATATATATATAGATATATATAAATAAAAATCTGGGCACCAGTGGGGACCAAATTATATGCTATGAATTCACAAATTGCTTCATATTCTTTTACCCTTTTATTTCTTTAATATGAAATGTCTGTCAGTCTCTACACAGCTTTTCACTGCAGCTACTGCTGTTAAACCTTCTCTTTTGATGATGTAATCCATGTTTCTGTCACATAAGATTTACTCATAGAAATTCATTCTTTTCTACTGAGACATTACATATTCAGATTTATTTCCTTATGGGTCTAATTTCACAGTTTTAGCTGTCATTCCTGTGGATGATAATAACATGATGATCATTTTTGCCTTTAGATGTTTTATTACAGAAAATGTTTGAAACCAAAATATTCACACATCCTGTCGTAGTTTTACTCATGGATGGAATTATGGTGAAAATCAATGATTCCCCTTTTTGCTGGGGACCCCCAGGAACCTCCTCAAGGACCCCTGGAGGTCCCAAGACCTCACTTTGAGAACCACTGCTCTACACTGTTCTGTTTCATTTAATTGAAAAGGGAAAATGAAACTGAGCTAATGAGCTAAACATCAGTTATCAAACTTGTTAGCTTGTTCACTAACAGAACAATAAGTCTACACAGTCTATTTATTGATACCACACACACACACACACACACACACACACACTTCTGTGATTTCCCACATCTATGTGGGAGAAAACAGTAAGGGAGATTGACTGCGATGAATGGCTCTGTATTTCCAGAGCTTGGCAGTTCGGTTCCTGTGTGGGTCTCGGTGGACTGTGGGGCCTTTACAGTAGCTCTCAGCTGTAGGACGTCCAAGGATATTTAGCTGTGTGAGGACAGGTTCCCGTCCCGCTCAGGGGCTGGAGATGAATGTGTGAGGTGGAGGTAGATGCATCATATTTGACGTCTGGAAGTTTAGTTTGACACGATTTAAAATGAGGATTTAAGGGTTGAGTAGAGCATTGGGATGATGGCCAGGTTTGATTGGAGTCGGATACTTAGAGAAAAGAAGATTACGCATGTAGAGGAGGAAGTTCGTGTTGTCACAATAAAAGTTTTGACTTTGATACCTTTGACAAAAAAATCTTGGACCATTTTCTAGCCAAAAATATTTATTATTATAATACTATGTGACAGCTGGGACCAGCAGGCAACTGCTATTGAATTGGGGACATTGTAAACAGTCTGAAAATATAGAGTTTTACGCTCCAGCACATTTTTACAGATGTTATTGTGGCAGAAGCCGGACTGGTGAAAGAGAATAGATGAATAGACGACGTTATTTCCTTTTGGAGAAAGAATGAACAAGTAAGCCATGGGACAAGTAGCGGTCTGTCTCCTCCAAGGTGAGTGAAAAACGACTTGTTCAGTCTTGCTAACAGACCCCTGCTATTTCTGCAGCGAGTGCTCCTGTGGAAAAAGAAACATATACATGTTTTGTTCTGACATGCTCGTGTTTTATGGCTGCCACTCTCTATTCCAAAGACCCGTGATGAGATGGCAGTGTAAATGAGGTGGAATGGTACATTTCTGCGAGGCACAATCATTTGTTTATGAATCATTTGTCTGCAGTGAGGGTGTCAGACGCGCCGAGAGGAGGCAGGGTGAGGCAGGAGGAGGTGAGGAAAGCTCCTCGATCCTGTCGAGGCTGTCAGGTTGTTTGAAGGAAGGAGTGATGACAGGGAGAAGTGCAGGGGAGAAAGACACACACAGGGTCCTGTGGGGATGGAGGGATTTCTGGAGAGCTCTGATGAAAAGACAAATATGTCACCATATACTAATGGTTGTCATCCAACCCCCCACCCCCCCTCTCCTTTCTCCATCTGTCTTTTTCCAGAGTTGCTGGGCTCCACCAAGAGGCTCAACATCAACTACCAAGACTCAGAAGGGTAAGACGTGTGTGTGTGTGTGTGTGTGTGTGTGTGTGTGTGTGTGTGTGTCAGCCTGTAAGAGAAGCATGAAGTTGAGTCAAATGAATGTAACGCAGGAGTCACTGTGTCTTTGATGCCCGACCTCTGGCTGACAGCCTCCTGTTTGTCTTCACACAGTGTGACTCACAAACCAAACCACACACATACACTGACATGTAGAACTTGCAGTATGTTATTATCTAATGTAAAAAAAACCAAAACAACAAATGACAGGAAATTGAGTTTGTTTAGTTTGAATTAAGAATCTGTCGTTCATATGAGTCAACTCATCTGTGAAATATGAGAATATGAGGGGCGTCCTGAGCGAGTCCCCGGTTCGACTCCCGGCCAGGACCATTAGCTACATGTCATTTCCTGAATTTCCTGTCTTATCTCCACTGGCATTATGTAATAAAATGGCCAGAATATAATAGAGTAGACTGCAAATACACCCAAATAAATAAGCAAAGCATTGCTCTTGTATTGCAGTGTGGAGATAGTTAGCAGTAGCATTGTAAGTACAAGAAGGAAACTGTTGGTGAGGGCTAACCAGTGAGTCTGGTGGGTGTAACGCTGTGTTGTATGAAATGCCTTTGGCTTCGTGTTTACTGGTTTTGGAGGCTAAAAAAAAAAAAAAAAAACACCCTCCAAACTGTTAAGATACTGAGATAGATGCTCAAGCTTCTTGCACACTTCTGCAGCTTCTGTGTGGAGAAGTTTAAAGCTTGACAGGCTCTGAGAAAAAAAATAAAATGTAGGTCTTTGTAAAATTATAGATGAATAGACTGTGAGATGCAGTTGAAAGCCCCAAACAACATCCCTCACTTCTCGAGTAGGTATTTTATGGAGATGATTTTGCACAAAGTTATTTTATGACTAGTTTTACTTATATAGAAACATATATATGTATATATTTTTATATGTAAAGTAACAGTACTTGTTGTGGCTGCCTCATATTGGACGAGAATAACAGACTCTTTCTTGTTTCAAAGACGCTTTTTTCAAGTTGTTTAGTCTCTGTTTTTATCCATCAAATGTATTCTTTATATCAAAGTAGGCCATCAGACATGCAGAGAACCCCCCGACGCACGCCGCTGTTAGTGTTGGTGTGTGTGCAATGTGTGTATGCGTTGACTTAGGCCGGATGCGTGTCTCTACATGCAGGGTCAGTGCAGTGTGCGGGAGGTGATACACAATAGGGGTGCGGAAATAAAACATGTCCATCGCTCTGTGTGTGTGTGTGTGTGTGTGTGTGTGTGTGTGTGTGTGTGTGTGTGTGTGTGTTACCTGTGATATTTGAGATCAGTGCAGAGGGGAAGGTGAGCAAACAGTTGTTGAGTCAACATCGTTCCTGAGAGACACATTCAGAGTCTTAGACAGTGGCTGCAACAGGTGACGCAGGATGTGGACAAGGTTTGTTCTGCTGGATGAATGAAGGTGTGTGTGTGTGTGTCTGTGTCTGAGGAGCGTTGAAGCCTAAAAGATGTGACTGATAAGATGAGCTACTTTACTGTCTGGAGATCCCTTACATTTTTTTCACTGTACAGACCGACACAGTTGTCATTTTTCCGTCCGGCGTCCATGTTGTTTAAATAGCAAATACACTTGCGCCCTTCTGAGCGCCCACTGACATGTTGGTGTCAACACGGTGTGGTCAGGTGCACTGTCAGGTCTTGTGGCAGCGGAAAGCGATTGACCAACAAATACCCGTTCTGAAGTCAATGGCGTATTTCACTGTTATTTTAAGGGCGCATCCCGACATACTCGTATCACTCTGCATTACAGTGCCATTACACATGACTGTCACTGTGTTTACCTTCATGAAATCACCTGAAAGCAACACCAGGCTCCACTGTAACCACACACACCTCTGCATACATTTAACCTTAGGACAGAGTCAGGCGAGCTGACTCTATGCTACGCTAGGCTAATCTTGTTCCAGCGGAGATTTTTATTTCATGACTGATATTTCTGCTGTTTGTTGTTGAGATGAATAGACTTTTCCACAGAATCAACAATGACAATGACAAAGTGGTTTTACAACTTCACGTTGTCGTCCTGTGGAAATACTGATTCAGTTTTCCCAGAGTGGGTTAGTGAGTTAATCGTCCAGAATCAGCTGGCTAACCCACTGATCTCGTTACTCTATAGGTTTACGCCGTGAGCTATGACGGTTCACTTTAACATATGATGGAAGCTGTTTGTTTCCAGTGAAAACTCGATAGTGTAACTTTTCGACTCGACACAGCTGCAGTCAGTTCTCTCTCCACGTGTAGCTGAGCTTTTTATTGCCACTGGTGCACGAGAGCTCAGGGCTCCTGCTGTGCCTGCCTGAGGCTGTGTGAAATCACCTGAAAGCCCTCTGTACTGTAGTTTTTATTTCACCCCCACATGAGGAGGGGGGGGGGGGGGGGGGAGTTCCAGCTCCAGCTCTGCCTGTGTTTTTCATCGGAGGGTCGTCTCCCCAGGAACACTCAGGGTGTCTGTGTTGCCCCCAAGCAAAAGAAAAACTCACCGCCAAGAATTTATGCCTTTAATTTCATTTCTCTCTGTGTGGAATACACTGACACAAACACACACATTTCATCTCTGAAGCTTTGATGACCTCCACTGTCTGTAAATAAAGATGGACGACACAACTCCACTTCTTCCCAACTGCCCTAAAATGATGCCAGAATTGTCCAGATACATGCGCCGCCATCTTGAGCTGGTAACGAGTTTGCACAGTAGTGATGGGGGGGGTGGAGTCATACAACTATTTACAACCAAACTTATTTAAAAAATGAACACTTAAACATCAGTGTGATCAGAACAACCTAAAATTACAGAAACCAACGTCCCAGCTGCTAACGGGGTTTGTGACCTCACTTTTGGGAGCTGTGATGTCGTCCACCTTTATAAAGCCACTGTCATCAGATGAACTCACACCAGAGTTATCATCGTAAACTTAAACCAACGAAATAACGAAAACTAGATGAGAAAAAACATTTTCGTCAAATGAAATAAAAATAAAAATGAGGCTTTTTAAACCAAACAATAACTGAAACTGTATTGTGTGTTTACAAAACTAAAATAAGTTTATTTCATACGTGAGCCTGTAGTATTTTGGGTGGATATGAAATCTGTGTTCAAATTTTATAGTTTCTTTTGTGGATTGTGGTTGTTCATCTAAGTGAAAACATTTTAAATGTTTTGTTGAGTTTTTATGTCTTTTGGAATCTCACCCCTGAAAAATCCCCCTTATTACGAAAGAAACTAAAACTAACAATGAAAATAAGAAAAACTAAACAAGCAAACTCTAAAAATGTAATCTAAACTGAAACAGAAAAAAAAGACACACACACACACACACACACGCTCACACGCACGAACACACACACACACACACACTCTCTCTCGCACACACACTCATGCACTCACACACACGCACACACACACACTCTCTTGCACACACACACACACACACACACACACACACACACACACACACACTCTCTCGCACACACACACTCTCACACACACACACACACACACACACATTTCAGTCTGACTTTTGAAAAGGACTCACCTGCTGTAAAGTCATGACTATGATTTATGACCCTGCTCGTCTCCTCGTCTCTCCCCCTCCTCGCCTTGACCTCCCTCTCCTCCCTCCCTCCTCCTCTGTCTCGCCCACAGCTTCTCAGCGCTGCACCATGCCGCTCTGACGGGCACCACGGAGCTGCTGTCTCTGCTGCTGGAGGCCCAGGCCACAGTGGATATCAAGGACATCAACGGTATCAACAGCTTCACCAGCTGAACCTGCGTCACCGCACAAACCCAGAACTCAAGAAAAAAAGCTGTTCAATGCTGGGAACTCAGTTGTGGTTAAATTGAATCTGAAAGTTTTTGACACTCAGCTGAAAATAAGTTTGACCCATATGAATAAGTATGATTCACTTTGAAGTCTGTCTGCCTCGACAGCAGTGCAACGACAAATATCTTCAGACCTCAAGTGGAACAGATTTAGTAGAATTTGTGCAGGAGTGGCATCTCGGCCGCTGAGACCGGAGGCATGTAGCGCTCATAAGTGTGTGTGTGTGTGTGTATGTGTGTGTGTCAGCTATAGAGTTCTCAAGTTACATTTTATTTTAGGTTGAGTTTAAATTTTACCCCGTCCTGGCAACTTTCTTAGACTCTAAAAATCGCCTCAGCTAACGTCAGACTTATTACACTTTTGTGAAATGTAGCAGTAACCCTCCGGGGAAGAGAGCTGAGGCGCTACGAGTGACTCAACCGTAACTTTATTAACTACTTGATCACAAGACGAGATGTGTCGAGATCTATCAGCCCCAGGGCGGCAGAGGACATCCGATGAAACAATCAAACCTAAACCTTCAGAGCTTTTGCAAGTTGGAAAGTGAAGAGTTCATCTCCTCCACTGACCAACTTCCAAGGGATTTTCCCTGAAATCACAGATTCCAGTTTTGAGCAGAGAAACAAACAAGTGGCAAGTTTCAAAATTAGATGGGGAACGTGCGAGAAACATTCTCTGTTTATACAATTTAAACAAGCAGCAGAGGCAGAGGTATCCTGACTTTTAATCCCTGGTATGGGTTTAATTTCAAACACACTGCCTCCTACATTTCCCATAATGCAGCCTGATGGTTTTTATGTTAGTTTACTCTGTGACTTACTTAACACTGACAACTTTCAAACTCCAGGCCACGACTTTGTAACACTGGCTTTTTGTAATCTCCGAGCCTGAGCTGAGGTCACCTGATGACGCTGATGATGTCACATATGCAGCTGATTTTATTTTTATTTTTTATTTTTTTAGCTGTTTTGTAAAACTTTTCCTGTCCTAAGTTGGGAACTATTCATCTGTTATAGCTTTTTTCCTAAATCAGGTCCGCACCTTAATTACCATGGTTACCAAACAGTTAAGAGAGGACCTGCAAGTTAGGATGTTTCTGTCTTTTCTTTTCCCGTCTCCCTGACTCCGTCCCTCGCTGTGGTTCCTGTCTCTAGGCATGCGTCCTCTCCACTACGCAGCGTGGCAGGGTAAAGCCGACTCCGTCTTATTGTTGCTGAGAGCCGGCGCTTCAGTCAACTCCCCTTCCCATGATGGACAGATACCGTTACATCTCGCTGCTCAGTACGGACATTATGAGGTGGTGAGTACACACACACACTCACAGCCGCCAAAGGCAAAGTTTCGAGGCATTACCTGTCCTCACATTTCACTGAAATCTACCCCCTTTGTGTCTCAGCCAGTATTGTCCGCCAACAATACCAGTAATACCATTAATGCCATTACACAGGTTTCTCACCAGAGTCTACAAGCACTGAACACACATATCACATATTCCTTTCCCCCTGCCTCATCTGTTTGGCTCCTGGACCCCCCCCCCCCCAATAAGACAATACTAAACACAGGCTGGACCAGAGCTATCATATGTTCCTCCTCTTCTGTTCAAACACACAAAAAATGCACACACACACACACAGGATGTGTTGGGATGACGGGCGTGTGAGAGCATGTTGATAATACATGAGGTGAGATCACTTTCTCTCCTCTTTTCCCTGTCAGTCTGAGATGCTGCTGCAGCACCAGTCTAATCCCTGTGTGATGAACAAGGCCAAGAAGACTCCTCTGGATCTGGCCTGTGAGTTTGGGAGACTGAAGGTATGAGAACATTTGTGAGCAGATTCTTGTGGGAGTATATCTAAGAATGTTGATCTTTTATTAAAATGACTTTTTCCACCTTCAGCGTGATGTATTTGACATAATTGTTTTATTGTAGTTCTCTATCTTTACTACTGAACTCCACTTTTTGATGTTTGAAGCCTAAAGACAATCATCAGAAGTAAAAAGCTAATGTTAGGCTATAAACCAACTACACCACAGTCACATGACTAAACATCAACCTGTAGTTTGATTCAGCTCTGACCTCTTCTACAAAAGCCTTTCCTCTGACAGAGTTAGTGACAGTTTCTATAAACACTGGTGAGTAGATCGGATTTCATGTTCCCCGACAACCTCTGTAGTGTCATTTGGACACTCGTTAGCCAGGTGTGAACAGGGCCTCAGAGCTTAATGAAGGCAGCTGGACTGGAGCTTCTGGAAGACGCTTCACCTCTCATCGGAGAGTCTTCTTCTTCTGTTTAGCGGTGGTCGTTCCAGTTTGACGTAGATGGCATCAAGAGGAATGCACAGACCTGTATGTGAAGGAAAACTAAACAAATGCTTCATATGTTCACAACACGACACAGAAGAGCCAGTTTCCTCAGGTCAGGCCTCAGCAGCCCACCTACATCCAAAAGACAAGGGCCACTTGTTTGAAGACATTTTTGTGTTTGTGCACATTTTGGCCGACGAGAGGACCGATGGAAGTGAAGAAGCCTTTTGGAGGAAAGATGAAACTTCTTAAAGAACCTGAAACGAGAGGAGTCGCCTTCGTGAAGCTCTAAGAGATACGCTGGTACTGATCTGTATCGGTGAGGATTACCGCTGTGGAGCTGTTGAACGACCTCACAGTGCCATTTGGAGAATTTGGAGCTTGTGCTGGTCTTTTCATTGAGAGACTAAAACCCCATGTAGTGATCTGCTTCATTCATGTAGTTATTCCAATCCAATTATCTGCATGTGAAAACTCCCCATTCTGTCCTTTTTCTGATGAACATGAACTCCGACTCAGATGAAGTGACCCAGATAAATTAAGCTCGTTTGAGTGAAAGGGAAATAAGCTTCAGTGGCACACACACACACACACACACACACACACACACACACACACACACACACACACACACACACACACACACACACACACACACACACACACACACACACAAACATTAAAGGGATTGCACATTGCAGTGTGTTTCACTGTTTGTCTGTCACATCAGTGGATAAGCCCGGCTCTGAAATGTATAGCTGGCCCTGTAATTCAGAATTAGACACACACACACACACACACACACACACACACACACACAAATACATACACATACACGCACACATGCCTGTTAAATGTTTTCTTGTCTGGTCTGAGTTTGCACTTTAGCAGTGAAAGAATAAAAAGCTTTGGGCTGTGTGTGCGCGCGCGTGTGTGTGTGTGTGTGTGTGTGTGTGTGTGTGTGTGTGTGTGTGTCATTCGAGGCCATATATCTTTAGACAGCTGCTGAGTAGTGGATAAGCTTCTCTGGGCTATCTTTATATACAGTACATTATTTTAGTTCATATATTTCTACCATGCAGCCTCAGCTAGCTTGGCTTTGCATACATATATACATATATATATATATGTATGTGTGTGTCTGTGTTTCTAATGCTGTAATTTTTGCCCTAATTCTGCCACTCTTGTGTTCTCCCAGCCAACGCTTCATCTTCATTTCATTGCGTTTGATTTCTCTTCAGGTGGCTCAGTTGCTGCTGAGCAGTAACATGGTGGCGGTGCTGTTAGAGGGGGAGGGAGGGCATGACAGCCTGGACTCCCCATCCACCACCCCACTCCACCTGGCAGCCAGGAACGGTCACAAAGACATCATCAAGTAAGGTTTGCAGTGTTGAAAGGGACAGTAATAGAAGTCTACATGTGTATTTCTGCCCTTTCATCTTTCTACTTACACCACAGCTGCTGCTGCTGTTACTGCTGCTACCACCTCTGTTGCTATTAGCCATGCTCCCACTGGTGCCAATGTAATTATTGCCAGCTACTACAACTAACACCACTACTGCTGCTGCGGCTGCTACTACAAGAATTACAAATACCTCTACTGTTATGGCTGCTACTACTGCTCCTACGTCTTCTACTGATAACACTACTACAACTTCAATACTTACGCTAGTGCTACTAATGCTGCTAATGCTACTTCTGCCACTATTAGTACTTCTTTTACTGCTACTGCTAATATTACCCCTGCTTGGGCTGTTATCAGTGCTACTGCTATTACTATTACAGCTGCTACAACTCTGCTACTGCTAATGCAACCACCACCATTACTACTGGTGCAACCATAACTACAACTACTACTGTTGCTACCAATGCTATAACTGCAGCTGCTACTGCTACCAGTGCTGCTACCACCACTAACATTTCTGCTACTCTTACTAATGCTACCACCTTTAGTAAGACAGTTTTTACCACTGCTACCATTAGCGCTGCTAAGGCTATCAGAGCACTGCTATTACAGGGCTATTATTGCTGCTACATGATGACTACTGTTGTTACCTCTATAACTAAAATTACTACTGTTGCTACCTCTGTTGTGACAGTTACCTCTGTTACCTGTGATAACACTGCTACTACAGCAACTACCAATACTACTACTGGTGGTATCTCTGGTACGACTGCTACTATTTCTCATGCTAATTCTACTGCTATCAACCTTACTAGTGCTGAACTACGTCTGCTACTGCACCTAGCATAACTACTGCTCCTACTGTTACCGTTACTACCTCTACTGCAACTAATGCTACTTCAGCCACTATTGGTACTAAAACTAAAACTTCTACTGCTACCACTATCACCATTACTAGGGCTGTTGGTAGTACTACTACTATGCTACTGCTGCTACTAACTACTGCTACAACAACTACAACTACTGCTGCTACTATTCACACTACTATACTGCTACTAATGCTACTTAAACCACAGCTAGTTTAACTACTGCAACAACTATTTTTACTAGTACTACTATCCTCACTACTAGGGCTGTCAGTAAGGTGACCAGGTATCTGAAATGAAAACCGGGGGCAGTCATGTATTTTGACCACGCCAACTGTTGTATTGTAATAAACTATTGTGAGGGTCGACTGATAAAATGACGACTCCCTACCTTTGAAGCAGCTGTAATGTTTGTTTGAAGTATGTTTGTTTTTGTTAGTGTACTGCCTGGTTGTGAACTCCAGTGAGTGAGTCAGCAAACCCTTTCTCTGCCTAGAAACAACAACAACAACAACAAAAAGAAAGATTTGATTGGATAACTTTATTTTTGATGATTTTAGCTTCACTTCTGAAGCTGCTATAGCTAGCAGCCAGCCCCCTCTGTTGGCCAAAACAAGTACAAAGCTGGACTTCAGTTTTTAATTACAAACGTTAAAAACAGGGACATCTGGTCACCCTAGCTGTCAGTGCTATTACAACTACTATTGCTGCTACTTTATAACTACTATACTGTATATACAACAACTGCTAACAGTGCTAACAGCTTGCGCTAGTAATTAATAATTAATTAATAATTACTCATTCATGCAGAGCCCCAGGTGCTGAACATTTCCCCCTCAGGTAGCTACAGAAAGCAAAACCCACGAACGACATCCACCTTCACAAAGAGCACATGCTGCACTGTAGTGATGCTCCATCTCAGATTCCCGAGAGCAGCTCAGTGTGTTTTTTTATATACCAGCATATCTGTGTAAATATGTATGTACTCAGCCAAGTAGCTCCACCCTGCCTCTCAGACATGCTGCTAACGATTCCCATCCTCTGAATGATCAGATCTCATTTTGCAACACACCCGCTCCATCTTTCCTGAACTGGGGTGTTGAATAGCAGACGTGCAGGAGAGAAGTCGAGGCTCCAACACAAAAAGAAATAAATAAAAAAATAAAAAATCCACTGCATTAGCACACAAGTTTATTCAGAGTTTACTCAGGAGAATTTGCCTGTGATCTCCCACTAAGGGATTTACGTCTCTTCAAAGACTGCCATACTTATGCAGCAGGCGTCTTATAGTGCTTACTTTTTGTGTAGCAGGAGAAGCTTTCTAGGTCTGGTTAGAGCTGGAGGTGCAAACACGTGAACACAGAGGATTTTGTCCCAGGGAAAATGTTTGTTGTTGATTTTAGTATTGTGTATGTATACATTCTATACATCCTAGTGTATACATGCGGTACAGTTTGTGTAGAGTATACAGTATGAGAGTAAACGAGCTGCGTAACTGCAGGACAGAGATGAGGAAGTCTAAGCTTTACGCCAGTGTTCAGACATTCAGCCGTCTCAAGGTTTCATTCCAACAAGATTAAAACTTTTTCTGCTGAGTAAAGGAAGAAGGTGCAGGTTACAATAGGTTCGCTTCAGGCTTCTTTTTTTCATCATACTGCATCATAGCTTAATATTTCTCCTGTCTGTCCCACCTCTCTGTGGTGTCCCACTTAGTGCGAGCTTGTCAAGTCGAGCAAGTTTTTTTTTTTTAACCCACACTCAGATTTTTCATATCTGCAAATTGAAAAGCAGTTGTTACGTGTGTGCTGCTCCTATATTTTACAAGAGAAAAATATATTTATATCATGATATTATGATTGTAATCTTTTTAGAATCAAGTTGCAGTATCACATTATATTTATTTTAATACTGATATTTTTTAATACTAATAATATCAAATTTTTTTATGAGAAAAAATTTGTACTTTTACAAAAAAAATCAGTTATTATGATTATAACTTGCAATTTTACAGTAAAACAACATTTCAAAGATAAAGAGATTAGATCAGATTCACTGCATGTGCATTCAGAAAACACTGTGCACATGAAGCTGGATAATATTCTGCAGCAGCTTCAGTGTTTACATCTTTCAAACCTGATTCAACCTTCACATAGTGAACCACCTCCTCCTCCTCCTCCTCTTCCTCCTCCTCCACCATTCTCTGGATACAACGCCATCAGCATTCCTACATCTGAGCCTCTGACAGGGCAGAGAGATCTCTCTCTCTGTGTGTGTGTGTGTGTGTGTGTGTGTGTGTGTGTGTGTGTGTGTGTGTGTGTGTGTGTGTGTGTGTGTGAGAGAGTGGGGGGTACATGGCTTAATGAGATGTTGCAGATGTCTGCAACAGTTGAATGAATGAGTCTGTTTCTGAGTGTCGCCTGTGGCCTCACATACGTGTTTCTGATTTGATTTCCTAGGTTGCTGCTAAAAGCTGGTATCGACATCAACAGAGCCACCAAAGCGGGAACGTCTCTGCATGAAGCCGCCCTGTACGGCAAAACGGAAGTGGTGCGGCTGCTGCTTGATGTAAGTGAAGACGCCAAAAACTAGGTATCTCAGTTCAGCTGGTGTGTGATTTCAAAGGCTGGCACTGATCGTTTTGTATCGAAGGTGCAGATAGAAAGACAACGTTGAAAACTTTCACACGACAACTCCCGTGTTGTTCTTTAATAAAGGAGGGAGGAGGGTTTGTTTTAAAAGTCCACAGTAATCCCACAGTGTGTGTGTGTGTGTTTTTAGGCGGGTGTCAACGTGAACATGCGCAACACCTACAACCAGACAGCTCTGGATATTGTCAACCAGTTCACCACGTCCACAGCCAGCAGGGAAATCAAGCAGCTGCTCAGAGGTCGGTCGCTCTTTAGTTCATGAACACCTGTATGAAATTTGGATTTTTGGTTAAACAGGAGGAGAGGTGGATGAGCACAGGTGTCAGAGGTGGATGATGTCAACTCTGTATCTCTCTCTCTGTGCAGAGGCATCAAGTTCTCTCCAGGTCAGAGCGGTGAAGGATTACTGGAATCTCCACGACCCCACCGCCCTCAACCTCCGGGCCGGAGACCTCATTATGGTACCTGTGTTTGTCTGTGTGTGTTGGTTGAAAGAAGCAGGTCTCTGTAACGGCTGCTCACCACAGTGAGTCGGAGGTTCACTCTGCAGCTTGTCGAGTTTTGAGTTGTTGTGCCTCAGCAGACTCTCAGTATTTCTGCCATACTCCTGCTTCATGTTTAACTGGGGCTTTGTTGTCTTCATTATTTCATACAGAGACATATTTCATACGGTGATTTAAAGACGCTTTGCATCATAGCTTTTTCAGAAATTTTAAATGGTATATGATTTTTTTTCTCTCAGCCCGTTCATCTCCCTCGATCAGGGACTTTGGGTGAGGGAGCAGCGTGTAGCAGTGCCACAGTTTCTTGTTACGACTCCCGGCTGGTGCCAAAGTCAGTCATTGGTAGCGCCTCGTCCTTGTGTCCCAGACCTCAAATTAGCACAACGCACATGAGCACTACTCAAACATCCACCCGACAGCTCTCACTGACTCTGAGCTCCGCTGGGAGCTCACAGAGAAACTGTGGGCTTTAATTGATCATCATAAAAACACTTCACATAGACCGGGGGGGTTGTGATTTGCCAGCTGCTTATTTAGATTTATTAATGCCAGGATCAGACGACACAGTATCACCCTGAGCCAACAGATGAAAATAAGAGTGAGGAGGCGTAATGGTTGACCATTTGTTATTGTGTTGTCTGTCATAGTCACAAACAACAGACTGGAGCGGCACAATTAATCAATATCATAGCATAAGCTACAGAGACGCCCCGACCTACAGATCACATTCTCCAGACACAAAGGAAACATGTTTGTTTGGTACAGGACCAACAAAAATCACATCATCATCATTTTTATATTTTTTTCAGTGAAAATGAAAAAACAACTGAAATCACAATATCTGACGAAATAATCGCAATATGATTTTTTAAATTTATTTTTTGCATATCGTGCAGCCGTACATCCAAGGTAGCGTCTGGGATCCCACACCCTGACAAAAACACTTACTCCTCAGAATATATTTTTTTGTTTTACATGTTCTGTGACGTCGGCCTGTAGAGACACAGAGTGGCTCCTGTGAACTCAGCTGTAAGTTCCTGCCCCCACCTTCCAGTCACCTCTGTACACAAACCGATTTATCTGGGTCCAGCATGTGAGCTGTCGTGTGTGTCGACCAAGAATTTGCGACTCTTTGAACTGCGTCTCAAAAGGCAAGAATACGTTATTGTCTGATCTTGGCATGTTGACAAAGAAAACACAAACTCTGAGAGAAAGTTCATGACACACTTGTAGAGTATGTCTTTCTGAGTCATTGTGGATCTAACGACCGACCTGTCATGAGACGGACAAACGATGGAAAAGACACAAACACCTTCACCTGGCTGCAGCTCTCACAGAGTTACTGTGCAGGAAGGTTTTATACAGGTGTGTTGTATCCTTTCTGGCAGCATCTGTAAATCCACTCTACACCTTGTTGCAGCTGCTTCACTCGTTGCAGGGGAATCACAGGATTACATGATGAGGACTTGTGTGAGTGAAGTGTTGTTGTTAGGATTTGTGGTGGATGTTGTGGGGTAATTTAGTGAAGCCTGAGCAGCAGCAGAGAAACAGGCGCGAACTTGTTGCTGTCACTCTCTCATTACCAGCTTGTTTGCTCATTCCCTCGCACTCGACGTTTGTGCTAATTCATGCGTGTGCGTGTTTATGTGCTCACTGATGTGTATTTTGATATCTTTATACGCGTCATTGTGACATCCAGACTCCTGTACGAACTCGTGTGTAGTTGTGTCGTGTCTTGTGAGGGCAGAGGTGTTTTTTTGTTTTTTTTTTTTGTCCTCTCCAGGCGTTTTGTTAACACTCACAATGAATAGACTGTGCATTTCCAGCTCATTGGCTCTCTCATTATGGTCTTAAAAGCAATGCCTGGAGGAGTCACACACATGACGAGCATACTTAAGAGTTGATGTGCAGTTGACAAGGGAAATGTTTGGAAAGCTGTTTTTGTTCCTCACAAGGGGAAAATACATTTTATTTTTTATTTTCCTTTTAATTTAAACAGTCACCAAAGTTGTTACTGAATTGCCGCCGTGTGCTTCCTGATTTGTTGGTCTCAGGTCCTGGAGCAGCACTCGGACGGCCGGTGGAAAGGTCACATCCACGACACCCAGCGGGGCACGGACCGTGTGGGCTTCTTCCCCCCTTCAGTGGTGGAGGTCCTGAGCAGACGAGCAGGTAGACAAACACATCATCAGCATCAACAACAACAACAACAACAACAACATAAAGATATATAATGGAGATGATGCTTTACAAGCAGCGCCAGTGGAAGGAAATGGTTTACACTTCTAACCTTATCCAGACTGACCTACCTTGGTTTTTTAACACTATCTGATGAATTTCTTGTCCATGTCAAAACAATACAACAATACAACTCTAGCTTCAGTAGAAAATTTACACCTGATTTTGCCACTTGTTTTTATCTGCTAGCTTATAACTGATCAACAAGATCATATCTGTCTAATGATACTCTCTGGATAAGAGGGACTTATACCTGAAACCATGAATTAAAAGTGAAAAGTGAAATAAAACTTGTTTCTTTGCATAGCAATACTATTAGTGTTATTATTATTAAACTGTTTTTGGAGGGAAAACAGAGAGTGTTATTGGACTGATGTGATCTTGTTCTGGGTTGATCAGATATAAACAGGCAGCAAAATCAAGCACAAATTCAAACTGTATCTTGTGTTGTTGTTTTGTTTTGACATGAACAAGCTATCACGACCACTTACCAGACAGGAAGTGTAAACCATTTCCTCCCACTGCCGCTGCTTGTGATGCCTCATCTTTTGTTATAGAGGATCTTTGCTGACGAGTCGCCGAGCCTCTCTGTGTTCCCTCCTTCTCGGGGGATGAATCTGCCTCACTGTGCTGCACTGGGGTACAAACACAGTGTAAACATGAAGACAGGCGGGAGTCAGGGTCCACGGAGGCAAAGTTTTTGCCCTGGATCAGGTGTATGCGGTAACGCCCCCATACTTGATATCAAGCCATTAACTACAGTAGCTACGCACTACAGTGCTGAGTAAAGAATTCATCCACCTACATGCTAATATATATAATCACATCACCCTCTGACTATAATAACTCAGGGTCACAGGGCCGTATTAGACTCGGCAGGCTGGGGGGTCGAGCTGCCAGAGTGGTGTTAAAAGGGCTAACTTGACCCAGGGCAGTGGTTATATCTGGGCCAAGAATACATCTCGCCACTTTGTTCAAAGGAAGGATCTGTCATGTTGGCATGTGTGGTCACTAAAGGGGGGGGGGGTTTGAGGGGGTCGGGGGGGTCAGCGTGCTTGTAAATCATCTGATTTAATCCCTGTGAATAAAAGGAATATGAGCCCATGTTTGTTTTGCAGCTGTAAAGCCACTGACATTCAAACAGTGGGACGAGCACAGCGAGGGGCCCAACAGCAGCAGCAGCAGCAGACAGACACACACAAGATAAAACACTTCACTTCTAGGTCCTCAACAAGCCAGGCTACACACACACACACACACACACACACACACACACACACACACACACACACACACACACACACACACACACACATTAATAGGATTACTATGGCCAGATTGCCGAGTGTCAGCTCAGTGCTAAAGCCCTCACAGTCTACGTTGGGATATTATGTGCTGTGTGTGTGTGTGTGTGTGTGTGTGTGTGTGTGGGTGGTGTGTGTGTGTGTGTTGTGTGTGTGTGTGTTGTGATCTGCTCATGCTTGAGGGAGAAGAGACAAGAGAAAGAGAGTTTGACTTAAAGTCGGTGACAGGCTCTTCGTTTATGAGGCAAACTCAGCAGTGTGTGTGTGTGTGTGTGTGTGTGTGTGTGTGTGTGTGCGTGTGCGCCTGAGCTCTGTGATAATGTCAATGGTGTCAGCAACCATGGACCAACAGCAGACAAAGGAGAAGTAAGCCCTCTCTGCGTCGTCGGTGATGTAACACCAGAGAGGATTTACAGTGAATCTGCTCTTTTTCAGTTGGTGTTCCATAAACTCAGAGAACAACAAAACACGTCTTCACTGCATCTTCATACACCTGTGCATGCAGGTCACGCTGACGAGCACACACGCACGCACACTATCCTCAACCCAAACCTGTCTCCCTGACACTAGGGGGCACCCTCTCCCGCCAAGCGTCAATGCCTTCCCAACGACAACACTTTGCATCCAGAGCTCCTCCGTCGAGCCACGGCCCCACCATTCAGACTGACGACTCATACACCCATGGTTATGATCCTGCAGGTACACACACACACACACACACACTTCCAACCATCTCTTTGGTTTCTTCTTCCCCCTCCAAGCACCACCCTGACCCCCGTCTCCTCTCCATCAGTCCTGTGGTGGGCTCTGTAGATCCACCCCCAGCTCCTCCCTCAGTGGGCGGAGTAACAGTGAGCGTGGATCTAAAGTGTGTGTGTGTGTTTGTTAGGTGCTCCACCTGGCAGTCAGCCCTCAGCCCCAGCTAGTCCTGCTAGCCCCGCTCAGGACATATGGGTCCTCAGGAGCTCTCCCACTGGTAAGAGTGTGTGGTCCCAAAACGCCTGCCACCCCCCCACCCCCCCTCACAAATCCCAACCCCCGTGTGAACCTGTAGACCAGATCCAGTCCCCGCCGTTCTGATAAACAGGGCCTCTGTGAGGAAGCTTATTCCCATCTTTATCCGTTTTTATCCCAAAGTCTTGACCTTGTGATGCCACCCTGCAATCCCCCCCCCACCCCGCACCACCCCACACACACCACTCACACCCCCAGTGCTGCAGTAACCGTAACCACAGTTGTTTCCTCGCAGCAGGATGGAACAGTAAGTAACTCCCTCAGAGCCTCTGACTCCAGCGTGACTTCCTGGTGTCAGGTTTTTTGCAGCTTGTCGGTGAACCTGCCTCCACCCCGAAGCCTGGGCAGCAAAAAGAGTCTTGAAATTTGTGGGGGGGTTGTATTTGTGCTTTTAAAAATCAAAGAGATAATGAAACAACTGGTTCCAGATCATTACTGAAATAAGTCAGAAGGAACATTATTTGCTTTTTGTTTTGTTTTTTTTAGCCTTAGTCTGTGTGAGGTGTGGAGCTGGGACGTGATTTACCATCTTGGCATAAAAGCTCAATAATTAACACGTTGTATGTTATTTTTTTTAATCTGTACACAAACAGACTGAAAATGACAATTAGTGGCTTTAGGAGGAGTGTCCTGCGTCACTGATTCTTGCTAAGACACATAAACTTGTGCATCATCTGATAGTTACACCATACAACTCCAGCTAAAATCACAAATCGCCGTGGATACATTTCTGTTAATGTACGAGGCTTCGGCTGATATCGTATATATCAATAATATCGTATATCACGACATTTGGGTGAGACGGTATCGAGATATAAAATTTTGAATATCATCCAGGCCTGTAAAACATTAAGTGAGGTTATTGAGTTTTTGAACTTTGGACAGAGCCAGCTGTCAGCCCCTCCTCCAGTCATTATGCTAAGCTAGGCTAATTGCCTAGCCTAGCTTACATGGGTTTTTCATTCCTCTGTGCCGGCTCCAGCCGGAGGCATTATGTTTTCAGGTTGTCAGTCCGTCACATTCTCATGCGTGTGATATCTCTGACGCCTCGAAGGAACTTCTTCAAATATGTCCACTTGGACTTGAGGATGACATGCTTACATTTTAGTAAAGGTCAAAGGTCAAGGTCACAGTGACCTCACAGGTCTTAAGCCATAACTGATGAATTCATTCGCTAAATACGACACAATTTAACTCAAGTGTCTATAAGGATAAAATGAAGTGATGATGTTTTATATCCAAAAGGTCAAAGGTCAACTTCACTGTGACATCATAGTGTTCTTCAAAAGCACTTCTGGCCATTTTTCAACTCTGTAACTCAGGAAGGAGACTGTGACAACATTTCCTGCAACTTATCTGGTTGCAACCACGAGGAGGTGATTCCAGTTTTAGTTCATCTGACATTTGGAAAGAAAGTAAATAAGTGTAAATCCTAAAATGTCAAACTCGTCCTTTAACGGTGAATAGGACTGAAAAGAATCATGACTTGTTAAAATAGATTTCTGCAGTGTACTCAGACCACAGACTTTCTCTCTCTGTTTCCCAGCTCTTAAATTCTCTGAACGTCTCATTTTACCCTCCAATCTCTTTCTCTTTTGTCTTTCTTTTCTTCTCTCTCTCTCTCTCCTCTCTCTCTCCTCTCTCCTTCTGTCTCTGTTCTTCTCTGCTGTCCTCTCTGCTCTCGATTCCTTCGTCCTCTGCTTCTCTTTCCTCTTCTCTCTCTCCCTCTCTCTCTCTCTCTTCTCTCCTCTCCTCCTCTCTCTTCTCTCTCCCTCTACCTTCTCTCTCTCTCCTCTCTTGTCTCTTCTCTCTCTGTTTTCTCTCTGTCTCTCTCGTTCTCTCTCTCTCTCTCTCTTGTCTCTTCCCTCTCTCTCTCCCTCTCTCCTCTCTCTCTCTCTCTCTCCCTCTCTCTTCTCTCTCTCTCTCTCTCTCTGGTTTCTCCTCTCTCTGTCTCTCTCTCTCCCCCTCTTCTCTCTGTTCTCTCTCTGTTCTCTTCTTCCTCTCTCCTCTGTCTTCTCTCTCTTCTCCCATCTCTCTCTCTCTCTCTCTCTCTTCTCTCTCTGCTAGTCTCTCTCTCTCTCCCTTTCTCTCTCTCTGTCTCTGTCTCTCTGTCTCTCTCTCAGGTGACAGAAACAGTGTTGGCAGTGCCGGCAGTGTGGGCAGCAGTCGTAGCGCCGGCAGTGGCCAGAGCTCCGAGAGCAGCCACAAACAGAACGGGACTCAAAACCGCCACAACACCGACACGGGCAAGGTCAGACCTGCTCACAGAGAGAGACCCCTGATGTTACTCACAAATAACAACAAGCATTTGTGGACTGTAATACTGAAATACAAACTGTATGTAGGGTGTTTCTCCTCCATCTTGAATTCACCATGAAAACTCCCCATCACAAGTTTTCAAATGCAGTTTTATGTGTTGTATGAATTCTCTAAAAGCTACGAAGAGAGGAGATTTTATTTCTGGATGATCTGACTGTCTCCTCCGTGTTGTCTGTGTGCAGCTGGCTCCCTCTGCTGGTGAATCAGGAGAACACCTCCACACTGCAGGAGCCGACCGCAGCAAACAGGTTGATGGATCCACAGGTTAGTCAAGCAACTGAACGTCAGCCTCTTTTGACACGTTCTTTTGGAAATGTTTTATGTTCTCAAGGTACTGCAGATTTTTTCTTTTTTTCTTCTAATATTATCATATTTATTATTTATTGACTTAATGATCTTTCTGTTCTTGAAATCTCAGATGTTTTACCCAAACAATCTGTCGTACCTTTCACTTTTATTTTGAAGGGCTAAAACATTGAGTTATATCTTGAGAGAAAAGACGGTTAGAGGGAAAACTTAATTTAAATCACCTTCAGGACCCGTATCCAAGTGTTTGCACATCATAGTGAGCAGCATCAAAGAGCAGCTGGATGCTGTTTGAGTAACTTCACTTTACCTGAGGAATGTGGCAGCAGAGCTTTAGTTCTGCAGACTGAGCTGTTACTGGCGTCAGTCTGAGAGGAAATGAGATGCAGGGAGTGAGAATGGACTCACCTCACCTCACCACTGAAACCAATAAAACCAATAAAACCACCAGTTTCTCTGTTACCGAAACACATGAAAGCACTTGATCACCGCTCAAAGGAAAAACTGAAGAACAGGAAAACGTGTCGGATCTGAGCGGCAGGGGCAGGATTCACATGCTGCAGGTAAATCTGAGGACTCTGTGCTGAGAGGGGGCTTTACAATATATAAAGGAATGACCGGTCGCTGTTGACCTCAGGGTGAGTAGGAAGGAGAAGAGAGAGGGAGGAGACGGAGCAAAACACATCCGTTAAATGAAGGAGAGAGACTTGAAGAAATGTCAGTGTAATGCAGGACGGGCGGAGAGAAGGATGAAGTGTCAAACATCAGGAGCTCCGCTGCTCTTCTCCTTCCTGAAGGGTAAGAAGTCCTGATCTGATGTTTGATTTATTCACATTTAACATGAAGACGGTGAGAGGACAGAGGGAGACGGTGAAGATGATGCTCCTGATGGACTGATACTGATCTGAGCTTCAGTGGAGAATTCATTAGGACCTGTTATTCAGTGGAAGTTATTCCAGACTTATTATATATTGTTATATAATATTGACGTGAGTCAAGTTGTAGTTTTCTCTTTCTGTTGGACTTTGAGAAGAGCTCAGTGGCTGAAGTTTAGTCTCTCACCCTGAGGCCAAGGGTTAGGGTTAGATGCTGTTTGACCAAACCTGGAGACACCGTGTGACGGAGGCTTCAGACCAAACAGTTGCAGTAATCAATCAATCATTCATTCAGTCTTTATTTGTGTAGCATTTTTGCTTCAAAGACAAATGAGCAAAAGAGAAAAAGGACAAATCAAGTGAGAAAGCTGAGAATGAGATACAGTAAAATACATTAAAAAGTGCAATAAAGAAATCAGCAAATAAAGAAAATCAATAATAAAGTAACATAAAATAGAATAAAATACAATTTACAACATAATTACAATAAAATAAGTGAATAGAATAAAGTGACTGATGATTAAAAACCATATTTAATTAAAAGCTGGGCTGCAGAGGTCACTACACTTTGAGTTTATGTTCCAACACTTCCGGCTGCTCTCAGGTCGCCACGTCGTCATGGAGACCGTTCCATCAGCTCGGAGCATCAAAGCTAAAAGTTGCTTCTCTAAAGGTTTTAGTCGCTGCACTTTGGAACAATCGACAGACTTGTGCAGACATGATTCAACAAAGCAGCAAACTCCTGTCGAACGTTCATCGTGGACTTTAGTCTGACAACTGAACTTGTGCTTTTGCTGTAAATGCATTTCAAACAGTGTGTGAGTGAGAGAGCTGTTCACACCCCTGTTTCCAGTCTTCATGCTAAGCTAAGCTAATAGCATCTTGACTCCAACATACTGTATTTTACGTTGCTCAGTTCCTCTGTGTTCAGAGCTGCTCTCTAGATGAAGCTTATTGTAAACGGTGCTGATTAAAAGGCAGATGGATCCTGATGAGCGGAGCGAGAAGAGCGTGATCAGAACATTCGCCTCGGGGTTTAAGACAGGCAAGAGGACAGAAGAAGCTGGGGCGGGTGGGGGGGGGGGGGGGGGGTGAATTCCTCACAGATCTGCAGTCATGTGTCAGGACTGAGAGAGAGATGAGTCATGGCTCAGTGGGTTTTCAGAGCAGGTAGATAACACAACTTCACTCACCTGGGGAGACTCAAAAACACACCCCATCCCATTCCCCACACACATACAGACACACACACACACACACACACACACACACTCAGGCAGCTGTACGGTACCAGAGTATTCTGGCCACATTGAGGGGAAAAAAAGGCTGAAATTTCGAGAATAAAGTTGTAATTTTGAGATTAAAATCATAATATTTCAAGAAATAAAGTCAAAATATTATGAGTTGTAATTTTATGTTAAATTAAACTTTAGGTTTAACAGAGGAGGAGATACTGAGAACCTGGTGGATTGGTTGTTTGTAATATTCCTAAAAATTATGTTTTTTTCTCTCTCGAAATTTCACATTTTCATAATGAAATAAAGTAAATAATAATATTATTAATTTCAGATTTCTTTTTTTCCCTCAGTGTGGCCCTGATACTCTGGTATAATCTGGTGTGACACAGAAACTGGTCACTGTTACGTCACTGTTGTCTCGTTTCCTTCAGTCACTCAGTGAAGCTTCTGTCGCCCTGGAGGAATGACGTGTGTGTGTTTTGTAGGTGGTTCCCGCCGGCAGGTGAACGGCACTCCTCAGAAAGGCTTCGTCAGACCGGAGCACCTGCTGGAGGGAAAGGTGAGTTCAGTTGTCTGGCTGTGTGTGGGTGTGTGGGTGTGTGTGTGTGTGTGTGTGTATGTCATGGATCTCCCTCCTCTCTGTCGTCAGGACTCTGAGGCGATCTACCAGTGGCTGTGTGAGTTCCAGTTGGAGCAGTACACATCCAACTTCATCAGTGCAGGATATGACGTCCCCACCATCAGCAGGATGACCCCTGAGGTGTGTGTCAGTGGCACAGTTAAAGTTTTACCTTTTAATAAATCATGTTAAATACATGTTAGATTACTAAGAGACAAAGCTTTCAGACGGATGTGAGAACATGTTGATCTTCTTTTCTACAGTTGTTCCTATGACAGAACCAGAGAGCTCATGTCAACTCAGTTTTTATCTGTTTATTTATAAAGCGCCAAATCACAACAGAAGTTCTGTCAATGCACTTTTCAAATAGAAATAACATCGATTAGAGACCCAGAATCTCTGTGCAGAATTATTCTTACCAGAATATCACAATTAATGTTCATATATTACTGTAAAACTTTAGTTTGGGAAGCTCAGTAACTCATTTTATTATAATATATGGAAATTGTTAATATGGCATCTTTTCAGGAAGAACCAGAGTGCGTCGCAGACACATGCAGTTAATGTCTTGACCTCCCCCTGTAAAGTGCCTTGAGATAATATATATAATGCAGTTTTGATTTGGCTCTTTACAAATAAAATAGAATTGAATTGACTTACATGAACAAATGTCACATGTCAATGATCGAGGAAAACCAGTTTTTAATCTCATTAATCTGATAAAGATGTAGCATTTAGCATTTAGCTTGATGATGAAAACGAGTGTCGCCTGGAAACACTGAGTTTAGATCCGTCATTGTTTTTGTTTCTTAATGTGTTTTATAAACAAACTTGTGTTTTTTCTCTATTTGCTCTATTTGAGTTTTTATTAAGTGGAGTTATAACCCTGTTTTTTTCAGCATGATATATTTTGTGCAGTTGTCACGTGTTGATTCTTTGTTTTGCTGATCACATATTGTACATGTGTTCTGTCGTTCAGGACCTGACGGCCATCGGAGTCACCAAACCCGGCCACAGGAAGAAGATCTCCATGGAGATCGGCAAACTGAGTATCCCCGAGTGGCTGCCTGACTACATCCCTGTGAGAGACGCTTTAACATTTCTGAAAAGCATCTGTTGTTGTTTCACCGCTCGTGTCAGAAAGATAAATGCTGGCGATGACGATGACTCTGTCTGTCGCTGCAGTCCGACCTGGGGGAGTGGCTCAGTGTGATCGGACTTCCTCAGTACCAGAAGAGATTGTGCGAGAACGGCTACGACTCGATCACGATCGTCAAGGACATCACGTGGGAGGACCTGCAGGAGATCGGCATCACCAAACTCGGTGAGAGATCAGACCACATGTTCTGTGATGTCACTGTGAACCGCTGTCATGACCGCCGTCTGTGTTTCAGGTCATCAGAAGAAGCTGATGTTAGCAGTGAAGAGACTCTGTGATCTTCAGCGCTCCTGTAACCATGCCGACAGAACCGGAGGCGGGACTCTCAGACGGAAGCCCCCAGCCGCTCTGGAGCTGGTGGCCATCGAACACACGCCGACACACAACGTGCACGCTCAAGCGCACTCTGGCGCTCCCGCCAACAACTGCTGCCCCTCCCCTCGCACCCCTAGGGCCCTGCTCTCCTTCCAGGACAGCGAGCTGAGCTCTGAGCTGCAGAGCGCCATGATGGGCCGGGCGGGGGGAGGAGCCGCAGAGGCGTTTGGTATTAGGGGCGTGACTTCTGCGGTGGCGTTATCCGCCATGTCAGTAAGTCAGGAGAGCATCAGCACGCGGTCACGTGGCTCTGGGAATTCTGGGAATTCTGGACATTCAAATTCAGGCTATTGTCAGGCGCAAAACGCCAGAACCTCCAGCCGGTCTGAGGAGAGTCTGGGGGGCGGAGGAGGGGAGGACGCCAAGCGAGGAGGAAGTAGTCCTGGAGGCAGAGGTCGACAGAGACCCACGGAGATGTGGGAGCACCAGAGTCGGTCTGTGACTCCCAACAAACTCCCCTTCTCCCCCCTCACGCCCCCGCTGACCCCGAGCAAAATGCCCCGCTTCGCCTACCCAGCCGTCCCACCCAAGGCCAAACACTTCCAGTCCCCCACCCGCCTCTATCAGCCTCAGCACCCACCACCCCCCCCCCCCCCCTCTCCATCCCCGCAGCCCTCCCCCACTCAGAAGGCCTTCAGTTACATCCAGGCTCAGACGGGGGTCAACGGCGCTCCGCGGGTCCTCTCCAAGCCGCTGCCCGGAGCGATCCCTCTCCTGGGGCCCTGGCCCGGACCGGCCCCAGCTGACGACACCCAGAGGGGCCCTCACAAGAAGCGCGCCCAAAGTCTGACTCGCTACGCCCTGTCCGACGGCGAGCCGGATGAAGACGATGACCTCGCTCCCCCTTGCACCTCCGCTTCCGCCGCAGCCTTGCCCTCCTACGCCACCTTGTCGCGCAGGCCGGGACGTGGGCACACCAGCGCCACGGGGGCCCAACGCCACATCAACCGCAGCCACTCCTTCGCCGTGCGCTCCCGACGCAAAGGCCCGCCCCCGCCACCGCCCAAGAGGATGAGCTCGGTAAGCGGCAGCCCAACGCGCCAGCCGGGAAACGGGAAAGTTGTGGAGCTGGAGGCGAAGGGCGGGGTGGAGATAGAGAGCGTGGGCAGTGTGAGGAGCATCGCAGCGAGGCTGGAGGGGAGCAGCAGCAGTCCGTCCAGGAGGATAGACATCCCACCACCAACACACATCCCCGTGTCGCCTGTTTTTAGCCCCGCCTCCTCACCGATTCCACACGGACTTCCTGCTCACATCATCCTGCAGCACTCCAAACCCGTGCCCGCTCTGGGCGTCGGCGGCTTAAGAAGACCAGGAAGTGAGAGGACGGAGGGAGACAGTGACAGACAGAGAGGAGGAAACACTGATGGAGCGACTGAGGAGAGAGAGAGAGCAAGAAGAAGTGAAAGAATATCAAAAGGTGCGTCTCCGAAGAACAGCTCATGTGACCACCTGCCCTTCGCCAAGGAGGGAAACCTCACCATCAAACAGCGACCCAGGATCGCAGTCGTCAGCCGGGGAGACGGCGAAATGAAGACTCCCCTGGAGGATCCCGTCCAGACTCCGAACAGCCTGGAGCTCCCAGAGTTCAACCTGAAAGAGTCCGACACGGTGAAGAGACGACACAAACCCAAAGACAAAGACGCCTCCACGCCCGAGGAGGCGTCTTCACCCAACAGAGACGACAGCCACAGGGCGAACGCACACGATGTCGTCGGGACGCAGAGCGGCGAGGAACCTCAGAGGAACGTTTTCCAGAGAGTCGGCTCGGTGGGAAAAGGCCCGAAGCCCCCGGTGTCCTCAAAACCTCCCAGTCCTCTCAAACAACCCCCCAACATCAAACCAACAGCCCCCCAGAAAACAGTCGCTCCGGTACAGACGGGCGCACAAACAGCCATCCCCAAACTAACCAGCGTACAGATTCACACGGTGTCACCGAAGCTTCACACGTGTTCCCCCAGTCCTAAAGCCGTGAGACACCCCCCCACGCTGAAGCTGGAGAGTCCGCAGAGAGCTGCTGGGCCGTCGGGATCCAGACTCCCTCAGCTCAGCAGCACGCCGCCGTCAGCAGCAGGTAACAACGACCTCCGATAACATCTAAACTTCTTCTTCTCTGACTTCAAATCTAAACCAGCTCTTCATGTCCCACAGGACCGATCCTCGCCGCGCTCCAGAGCGTCGCATCAGCCGCTCCGTCCTCTCCGGTCCAGGCCCCTTCGTTCTCCGCCTCGGCAGCGGCGGTCCAGGCGGGGAGAGCGGGGACGCCCCAGGCGGGTGCGGCCGGCCTGGAGGTGCTGGCTCACCAGAGGCTGGAGCAAACCAGCACGTCACTGGAGGCTGCGCTCAAAGTGGTGGAGAACAAGCTGGCTCAGGGGAGCAGCGTGGACGGGTAAAGACGTCACTCACATACAGGCGTGTCAGGCGTGTCTGGGGGGGGGGGGGTTACATGTAATCTGTTCTGTGTGAGTAACGGTGTCTGTCTCCTCCTCAGCGGCAGCAGCACGGTGAAGGCGGCGGGAAATATCCTGGATGACATCAGCAACATGTTCGACGACCTCGCTGACCAGCTGGACGCCATGTTGGAGTGACGTCTCGGCTTCTTCCCTCAGGGGAGCCAGAGACAGGAAACTGAGGCTCCATCAGACAGGAGTGCACCTCCTGCTGCGGGTAAGACCAGAGACTCTGGGACTCTGGACGATTCACATTTGGGGAGGATTTCCCCGCACAACGTGTCCTCTGTATTTTTCAACGCGAGCACTTCGCCTTAGGACACACACCTGGGAAAACAGCAGCTGAGATCAGCTCCCAGAATCCTGTGTGTGTGTTCAGCACGTTATTATCACTAAAGGGAACGAGGGTCCATTTAATTCACATTACCAGTAAATGTACAGATAAGTCTGTGTGTGTGTGTGTGTGTGTGTGTGTGTGTGTGTGTGTGTGTGTGTG